GGCATAATGGCTTCTAGACCACTGTGTGATGCCTGGAGACCAGACTGAAGAATGAAGTGTCTCTGACTGTCCTTTCATTGTGTTTCTTTGTCTCTAATGAGCTTAGCCTCCCTGCCTCCCATTAAAGTCCATCAATCACATCTGGAAGGAACTCTTCCTATGGAGTATTTTCAGACCTGGAGGTGTGGGCAGCCAAGGAGGCTGTGGGACAAGGAAGAAGTGCATAATTAAAAAAAAATACCATTAGCACTCTTGTTATGAAACTATCTGACTGCTTATCTCTTTATCTGTCCATCCGTCCATGCATTCATCCCATGGGGAAAAAAATCTAAGAAATTGGAAAGATAGATTTCTACATAATTTTAATGAAAACCATTTCTAGGTTAGACCAGCAATTTTTTAAAAAAAATCCAATTCAAGTTCCATTTTTTCATTCTCTCCTCCGAACACCAAATTCCACCACTGTTATTTGGGGTGGGGGGGAGAACCTCTAAAAGGGAGGGTCTTTCCAACAGCTGGTACTCTTCGAGTTGTTCCTCAGCTCTGGAGGGGAGCCTTGGAAGCGGCCACCAGCTCAGCAAGGCCGCTGAACTCTGAGCCCAGCTCCAAACAGAAGCGTTTACAATCGTTCAGGTTCAGTAAGTCGTTTCACAACCGGAGCCCCTTCAGCAGTTCTTTTGCTCAAAAAAAAATTTTTTTTTTAATGTTGCAATCGCCCCAACCGTGTTTGGATAACATGCCTTGTTTATTTACCGCTCTTATGACTTTCTGCTATGTAGCAGGAGTGCTGTGCTCCTTTTCTTCTTAACATATGCTGTCTGCTATAACATGAGGCCTGGAGAAAGGGGAGTTGGCTGTGGCGATCTGCTTCATCCTGAAAGCATGCAGTACACAGGGTGATTTTGCTGTGGGTTATGATTTTAATCTTGAAAGAGAAAGGTTTGCGTGTTTCCTCCAGAGAAAGCATTCCAATTAAAACGAAAAACCCTGTAAATATCTGTTTTAATTCCAGTAGCACCTAAAATTAAATGTATGCTTTGGAAGGTAACTAGATATAACTATATCTAACTACACACACACACACTGTACTATATGAATCATTGTCTTTTCTTAATACCCTAGGTGGTCTCAGAGAAAACTCTACTTTTGTGGCACTTTCTGTCTGGGATAGGATTCTGCTGTAGGGAAGAGACAAAGAAAACCTTGGGTTTGCTCTTGCTATGGTTTTTTAAGCAATTAATGAGGCGTAGATTGGTTTTGCTCAGCCTGGTTTGGTGGTGAAAATGTCTCCAGTTCAGGATTTGGAGGGGGGGAAAGGACCTGTAGTGGCTCTAGAAAAATTGAGTTAAAATACAGGAAGGATGCATTTGGTTAAACTCATTTCAGGAGGAAAATCATCATCCGGTCTTCATCGTCATCATCATCGTTTTCATCTGGGTTCAGCCACATGCTAAGCCAAGTAAGGCATGCGTTCTGTTTGATCCCCAGCCCTCAATCTGTATCATGATGAGCGCTTAACACATCCAGATCAATCCTCCAGCATCAGAGGTCTTAAAGACTCTTAAAGATCTTTAAACCTGTTAAGTTTACTCCAGCAGGGCTAGAGGAACAAGGAAAAGTGAAAATCTCCTTTGTCCTGGTGATCAGACCAGTATCTCAAGGGGAGAAAAGTTCTGTAGGAGCTCCAGGGAGTGTCTTGGGGTCTGGAGGAGAGTGTCACGTGTAACAAATCCAAAGCATTCACCTACAGTATCTTTCTCCCACCCCCACCCCCACCCCCAGGATCAGAGCTAACGTCAGAGTTGAAATAGCTGCAGATATTTTCATAAACACAGGCAGAGAAGGATCTCCTCAAAGAATGAGTTCTATTATTCAAAAAGGTGCCCAAAGTTTTTCCCAATTGCACATAGCCTTGGACTAACATGGTGGTGGCTGCATTAAAAAAATATCTAATTAGAAATCTAAATAGAAAACAATTGCTTCCTAGTCAATCGCCTATTGCTTGAAATCTGCAACTTCCAAGAACTCCATCTCAGGCTTTCAGGAATGCAGTCTCACATTCTGACCCAAATGCTCTGCGATCGTTCAGATAACCCCCAACTGATCCAGGCCATAGCATTATGGCCACTAGGTACCAGTTAAACAAGCACTACTTCAGCTATTTATCTTGGCTCCTTTTTTCAACCCTGCAGTTAAGCCTACAATCTATCATATAATTTTGACTGAGTTTGATTGTTTGTAATTTCTTATGAATTATTTCTAAAGAATAATTAGAATTCTAATTTGGTGCCTGTTTGGGTAAATGTGGCAGTATTGACTTCCGAAATTGTGAATTGCTTGTTATGTTGCGGAAGTTAACATTGTCTCCCAGGTATCAGTTCTTCTCTTTCCTTCCTTGTAGCTCCTTTCTCCAGTTCCAATCCGAACTTGGGGGAAGGAACACAGGTAAACCAGCCTTCCTCAGAACCTGGTACCTCCTGAACGCGTTAAGCCATGGTTCCTACTTGGCCATTGCAATTGCAGCCAGGACTATCTTGGAGATACTAATTTGGAAAAGACAGTTGAAGCATGTTAACAAGAAACAATGACTAGATAGATTTCCTTTATCAAATGTATAGTCCTAGTTATGAAAACTGTGATGGAGAACTTGAATTCATCCGAGTGAAATGGTGGGAAGTTCTTAAGAATTTTCAGATATCAAATAACTCCTACTTTTGATTGATTATAGGCTACTATTTCATTACTAGTAGTACATCTGAAAATAGGTATTTCCCTTATGTCCATTTGAATTCAGAAGTTCCTTTGAATCAGTTTTCTCTAGGCCTGGGATGGTGTCTTTGGAGCAATGAAACTTGGGAAGTGAGGGTTTCAGGTCTCTCACAACGGTGGCATTCCCTGAAATTCAGAACTATAACTAAAATGACCACAAGCAACTCCTGAGCTCTGGCTCATATATTACTTTGGACATGCGAAAAGGCAATTTCTGTGAATGAAGTGAACAATTTACAATGCTACCCCTCGCTTTAAACAGTTTTTCCCATGCTCCATTTAAAGTAAAAGAAAAAGAGCTATATAGGAGTTAAACTATAATAAATTAAAAACTGCTTTAAACATACTTACATTTAAATCACACTTGGGGTTGTGTTTATGTATCAAAAAGGTTACATTTTCAATTGAATATGAAAAAATAGCATCCCTGAGGCGTTAAAAAAAAGAGCACAGAACTTTTAGCTGAAGAGGTCCACATGAAGCACTTTTAACATTTAAATCCACTCTACACATGAATGGAGTATACATGTATATGCGTAGGTCACTCTTTGAGTCAGGAGTCTAAAGAATCACTCAACCACTCACTACATGAACACATTTACTGCAAGTAGCTCTATGGAAAGCCAATTCAGATAAATATAAACACTATACAGAGCTTCAAGCTAGTCTCCCAAAATTGCAAATGTGCTGCATTTTACCATGAAAAACAACGTAACAATATTTACAATGGAAGACACAGCCAGATCGATCAGCTCAAACCTTTAAACAGATCAGTGAAGCAGAAATAGCAAATATAATGAACAATTTCAACCATATATGTTTCAGTTTGTACAGACAACTGTCCAATATCAAATTAAAATTTACAGGACAAACATTGTTCCATCATTGGTTTCTCTGTACTCTACAGCAGCATAAAACGGGTGGCTGGAAGGTTGCCCACATAGTGATATGTTTTACATACTTGGAGATGGTCTTCCAGCACAATACTGAATAAGTTAGTTGCTGTAAACTAAGACAAGAAAGATTGCATATTTTATTATGCTGTACCTGTTAGTATTTGTACCAGTAGTTTTGAGGTTACCCATTTATTCAGCATTTGTAAAATCAGTGCTATATGGCAGCCTCAGGATTTCATATGTAAAGAATGTAACTTTTATCAAACCTTTCTCGTAATTCATCTCTTTGAACTATTACCCCAATTTTATTTATTTAACTAAAAGATGTAAAAGTACCTTCCACAGCCTTTTCCAAATTGGCACCCTCCAGAGATGTTCAGACTCCCAGAATTCCTGCCTGCACCGCTAGGCATTCTGGGACAGGCAGGCTAAACAAATTTGTCGGGACGCTGATTTGGCAAGGGCTGGGCTATTGCATTGTTAATTTGCAGAATCCAAACCAAAAGGACATGGTAAGACAGCACTGTTGTCTAGGAAAGTGGTCATATTTTTAAAGTTAAAATGTCTTTAGCAGCAACTAGTTAACTTTACTCTTGAAAATCCTGTTTTTATAGATTCAGAAACTCATCTGTGCTTTTAAACTCTGCAGCATTTTTTCTTTCTGATGACGGCACTCCGCATAAACTCATCGGTATCAGCTATATTTGGCAAAAGTTCCCTAGACCGTTAGATGACAAGCACATTTAAGTCGAACCAAAGAAATTCCAGTACACGATAATGGACATCAAAACTGAGAAGGATCTAATTTGCTTTACAAACTGGTGTAGGAATTCTAAAAGATCAGATGTCAAAAGATGAGGCAGCACTTACTTAATATTTGTACAATATTCAAGGTAGAGGAATACCAGCCATGTGGCACCTGAGGATCTGTGTACTGCTTTCAACTCTTTCCAATATCAGTGCTTCTAATTATCAATACCTACTAGATGTACCAACCCTAGGGTCAAGCTCTCTAATGACAGAAGCCTAGGATGTGATGTACCTAGCTTTTGCTATAATTTTGAATCTCCAATTTTAAACAACACCCCTAGTAAGAAAGGTCTTCTTCCCCCCACATTAGGAATAATAATAATAATAATAATAATAATAATAATAATAATAATAATGTATTA